TGCACAGCTGGAGCCCAGCCCTCCAGCGTGCAAGGCTGATGGATAATTTGGTAAATCAGACTTGGTCTCGGATTGTGTTCTCTAGCCCAACTGAAACTAGTAAATGGCAGAAGCAAGATTAGAATTTGAGATATTTGGGGGCTTGGGGGTTTTTTTGGGGTGGGTTTTTTAGGGTAAATCTCCTGCCTTGTGCTTGCACAGAAATACTTCCAAAAGCAATTTGAAGGTTGTCGTCGGGTAGGGTTGCAGTTCATGGTTTATAAACAGCCTGCTGTGGGAGGTGTGAACTTCCGCACCCCCCAGCGGTGTTGCGTATAGAGTGAGAGTGCACTTCACTTGCAAGAGAGAAGCAACAATAAACTTTATTGATCTAAAAGTGAGTTAAATGAAAGTTCAGTGGTAAATGCGACAGTGGTTTAACAAGTTTTGATGGCAAGGTACACTTGATTATTTACTGCGTAGAGGACAGGGTCAGACAAAACTGTCAGGGAGCCCCTCCCGTTGACTCATGAGGTTCGGAAAGGACCCCCTTGCTTTCTGAACTTCTTCTTCAGAGAGGAGTCTGGGTGCGGCTGGATCCAGACGTAGCCCCAGACTTGGTCAACGGTTTATGTCTAAAGGACTGTATAGGCGCAATCAATCCTTTATATCAGTGTCGAGAATATGACTTGTTCCAGCTGTCCTTCGTCACTGGGAAAGACTGACAAGCTGGAGGGAAGTGTAATGTCAGAGAGTAAATCTTTAACAGCATAATTTGGAGGATTTTTGTTAAAAGCCAAACCTGAGAAATTAAGGGGAAAAGGTTCTGGTTGCGTTGCATGATTTCCATATCAAGTATTTCACTGAAATGATCCTGTACGTAGAAACCGGTGCCGTGAACAATCTTAGGTGCACTGTATCTGTTCCACTGCTGTTGTGAAAAGCTGGTCAACAGGGCCATGCTCCTTCAGAAATGGCCCCGGTAGTGGTGCAAACAGGTTTTTTTAAAAGGATGGATAACTTAATGCAGTAATAATCAGTGTGAGCAGGCATGAGTGTATTTTAATGTCATCTGCTGGAGGAAGAATTGGCGGTAGTAAGACCAATCTTCAAAGCCAGGCGGTGCAGCATTATTAAAGCTCATTCAGCAGAAATGATACGTTCCCTTTGGTAAACTACAGCGAATGGTTGTGATTGCAAATGTGAGCCCCTGCCTCCCTGCCGTCCCCCCAGGCACCTCCGTTCACATCAGCAGGAGCCTTCGGCGAAGCTCGGGGGGACGACTCTGACCTCTCTGCTGTTCCTAAGCCAAAGGGTGGTGGGGACAGAATGGCATATGAACCTGTAGTGCAGTTGGTGGCTCTCAGCCTGGAACCTAAGGGTACCAAGACACTGGCTATGCCTTAGCAGGGAAAATAGTCAAAGTTATTATTTCTTAAAAGATACACAAAAATCAATGCAGACTCCGGATAAATCCTAAAATTAATGGTCAGAAGTATTCACCATCTCCTTAGTGGTCAACAGCTCTATATGACCTTCAGGAGTGTTCAGTTTCTCTTCGGGAAGGAGCGGGCCCATCAGGCACACTAGAAATTCAGTCGTCCTCATGATGGTGCTAGGAAGGGCCACCTCCATCATAGACTTCAGCAGGCTGGGATCGTCTGCAGGCAGATTTCCACCATAAGCAAGTTCTACTGTGAGGGCTTTGAATGATCTGCAGGGCACACAGTGGGCTTTTCACAAAGTTACCTCAAGTTTTTCTTTTCCCTGGAAGCAGAATAGGTTTATACCCCTGGTAGATTCAATAGGAACTATCAAGTTGTCACCCATATACCTTCTGTATTCAAAACCTGTGCTTACAGGTGTTTTTCGAGGCATCACGTTGTCAATACGACGTTTCAAAGTGTTTCCTGCGTTTGCCTCAGCTGGTAGAGTAATGAATTTGCCGTGTTACTGAGGAGCCGAATACTCCACCTTAGCAGCAGCAGCTTCCCAGGCCACTCAACTCAAGAGGAGCAGCTTGAGGTCTTTAATAGCGGTTGTCCTTGACTTATCTGCTTTTGATGATGATGAATTTTATCAATCAGGATGATAATAGATCATATTCATTGGACAAGTTGGTTGTCTGTAAAATTAAAAGTCTACCCCTGATTTGCAAACATGTAGTTATAGGACTAACTTGATGCCTGTGAGTAGCTCCACTGAACTCATTTAAGTGTTTGCTCATTTAAGTTAACTCATTTTAAATGTTGGGTGGCTAGTTGCCATGGACTCAGTGTCCCGTACACTAAATTCACTCCTGCTGTTTTACTACATAGAGGAAACCTGTATTTTTGCACGTGTTTAGACAAGTAAATTTGTTTTCTCATATTTGGCAAGACTAAGATATCTGGTCATTTCCAACTACAGCTGACAAAGAAGACATACTATATTGGAATATAATTTTTAATAGCTAGAAATTGTGTTGGGCATCATTGAAGGAAAGTACCTCTTACATCAGTGACAGACGAGTGCCCTGTATATTTATTGTTAGAAGGGACTGTTTATAAAATTAAAATTCCCTTCCAATCCTTGAAAAGACAGTACAGAAAAATGGAAAGCCAACAAAAAAAATCAGTTAAAAATAAAATTATTTTTCATATATTTAAAAATATTTGTAATAGAATTAATAAAAATGAAATTAATATTACTTTATTTTCAAATTATATTTAATTTTACTGAAGTCCTATTTCTGAACCTTCTTACATTTAATTTTTAATGGGTTTTGTATGAAGCTCTCTTACATATTTTGATGATTATTACAACTGCAGTTTTTATATAGCTTATACTTTCATATAGAACCCCTAAAGTAAATGTGTTGTGATTTTCAGAACAGAACGCTAGCCAGTTACGTTGGTTGCTGTTGTCTTTTCTGCTCCTGCCATAGCATTTTGCTGGGGATATATGGAACTAATGCAGTTAGTCATCACTGACTAGATAGCTGGCCTGGATATGTTGTTCTGAAGTGACACTCAAAAGATAGTGATAGCCTGAACTTTCCATGAAATCACATCATCGTGTATCTGCTCTAGAAGAATTTGTTTCCAGTGCTTATGAATGTCCATTTCTAACGCAGATGGGTGTAGTGCCTGGGCACCGAAAGAGGGGGCAGTGGCTGCATTCCTGAACTGACATCGGTTGCGTTCTGCCCCTAAAGTCTACACAGGGTCAGTTCATCCATGTGAATGAACTGTTCAGTGTGTATTTTATTTGAAATGCTATAGCTGTAAAAAAAAAAAAAAGAAAAAAAGAAAAAAAGAAAAAAGTGCATTTTAAAGATTAATTTTGACACCCTGTTGCTTAATAGAACTGTTTTATTTGTTTCATTAGGATGTTGACCTGAAAGCATGTCAGGAAGCTTTGGATGACTGCCGTCCACACCAAAGAGATGATCGGCTGGGACTGCAAGAGGAGGAGGAAGAGGAAGACATAAATCAGGTAAATGACAAAAAAAATGGAAGAAGGGAAAACTGTGAAGAAGAAGTGAGGGAGGGTATAGGTCTTATCACTGAGATAAAGAGTAGTGAAAGAAATGGAGTGAATGGTTTTGAAAGGAATATTTAATTTCCTCTTTTCATTTGGAGCGTCCTTTGCAAGGGCAGGAAAGGGATAGTGAGAGTCAAGTCACCATTCCTGGAGTTACTTAAAAGACAGGTAGGCGAGGTGCTCAGAGACATGGTTTAGTAGTGGACAGGTACGGTTGGACTCGATGATCTTAAAGGTCTTTTCCAACAAAATGATTCTGTGATTCTATAATTCCGATTCTGTGACTTCAGATGATACTTTGTGAATGATACTCTTGTACACCTTCTCAAAAATTGCCCCCCCCCAGTAGAGTTTATGTGGTTGAAATGTTCTAAGGTTTACAGAAGTCACTTGCAACTAACTATTTTTCAGTTTGGTTTCATTTTCTCCATCATGAAGGTGTTGTGTTTGTGGGCAAGGATTTTTTTTTGGCCCACAAACACGTGAGATGTGGATGCTAAATCATGCTGCTTTCACTGTTTATGTGCAGTGTGATGCTGAGATGTAGAATTACATTTGGGAAACTGGATTGTTCAGATTTTAACATGTATTGTAACTAGAAGGCAGAGAAATAACATTAATGATGCTAAACTGAAATGGGTATTCTTTGGGTTTTGTTCTCTCTGAGAGCTACAATGGAAAGTAACCTTCTTCAGACCTTAGTAGAGCTGAGAACATCAGAGCTGATTTTCTTGCCAGCCTCTGTTCGCTGCTGTCCTGGCAGCTAGGCTTTGAAAAAATACTTGATTTTTCCACACTGGTGCGTAGGTGCAGCTTGGGAGAGGAGGAAAGCCCAGTTCTGCGGTTGTGAGGCAGAGTAGGATGCTCTTGCCATGGAGTTACTCTGCTCATTCTAGCAACGTGACATCTCCCATCAGGATGAAGACTTGATGGCAGGGTCAGCAGCAGTGTTTCACAGAGCTGTGCTCTGTTTCCTCTTGGACTTTGATTTTTACCTCCTTTTGAGTAACATAATTGTGCTTTACAAAGTGTTTCTGTTTCTTCTGTCACAGAGCAACTGCAACCATGTAGATTCCCTTCTCTCCTTAGAGGAATATTTACAGCTTCTGTCATCGCAGATGGAAAACATGATAGAGGTAAATGGGAGAACACGTGTTGCTAATAGATTGGGATACAGTCAGTGATTATTGGATAATTACTTGCTCTGTTTTGTCTAATTAAAAAAAAAATAGTGAATATACCAGCCAATCAATGCAGTAAAACTTACCTGAAGATGTTAAAGACGCTAGTATCCACCTTCTACAGCAGCTGTCATTGGCTCTACTCAAAAAATTTTCCCCAGTAGTTTGGGATTTGAAAACTGCAAAGCCCTGTCTTCTCTGTCAGCTGGTGTTCAAAGTTGGATGGAGCCACTGGACAACTTAGTTCAACTGATAATTCCTTTTCTGAAACCCAATGCCAATTTGTATTTATACAGCAGCTCTTTGTGTGTTTCTCTAGAGCAGCGCTGAGTTATTAAGCACTAGCAGCTATTAAGCATTTGCAGCCAAAGATTAGAGGTTGCCATAAATACTGGGTCAAGTGCTTACAGGGATACTACCCTCAAGAATAATAGACCCATCTTCACTGCAAATCAGCCAGCATTAGCGGCAAAACCATTTTGTTTTCTTTTTTTTATCTTCTGGGCTCCTGACACTATTTGTTTACTTTCTAGGTGCCCATCTTCACAAAAAAAAACCCCAGTTGTTATCTTAATTGGAGTCTCTGTCCTCTCCCACAGCTCATAGCTGTGATCATTAACCATGAAGCTACTCCCTACATTCCTTTTTTGCAGTCCTCCAAGGGCATCTTACATATGCTTCCCATTGCAGGAGCCTTACAGGGTCATTAGTGTTTTCTATGTAACTTCATGTTTATCTCTGGAATACCTAGTTTTGGGAATATCTAGGCCAGATAGTGCCTCCCAGTCCATAAATTAGCCACCTCCTCTGTTCAGCTTTGGTAATGGATTCCACACTAACAAGGTTCAGAATTCATCAGTTCTCTGTTCTTTTCATAATTTGAAAGGAATTTGGCCGTGGCCTTTATGTAGCTGTATCAACACACGGTTGCATATTTTATTTAAGACTATTAATGCACTGCCATCTTGTGACTATCTATCTGTTGAAAATGGGTTGCTTGTTTTTTCCAGGTACCAAGTCTTTAGAGTGTGGGGGATTTTTTAAGAGTTAACTTGCTAGGAGTATTTCTTTTCAAGGGCTTAATTGAAAATACCAGCTTTGTCTCTCAGACTGCAGATGGTCTAGTCCAAGGTAACGCCCTGGGAGATAAAGGCAAAAGACTTTCTTCTGTTACCTGAGCTCCCAGTAAGCATAGTAGAGAACTTAAGACATTCTGGTCTTTATGGTACCTCATTCCTTCCCTGTGGAGAGTGCTTTTTACATTGTTCAATGAACGGCAGGCAGAAAAGTCCTTTCCTGCACTACAGTAGGGATGCTCAGCTATGGAGTAATCATGTCATATGCTTCCTCCTCAACGTATTTACATTCTCAATCTTTTTGTATGCATGTATTTATGACTAATCTACTTGTCAGCAAGTATCCTGACGTAATCTTGCGCAGTGGCTTTGTACTTCTAGGACCCAGCAACTATAACCCAGGCCCACGAGAGACGGGCCTTAATGCTACTGCAGCACTCATTTATCATCTGGACTTCAGGGCTGAGGGATCATACAGCAGCTTTATTTTTGTAACGAAAAACTGAGTAGTAATTTAAAGTCAAAAGACATCCACAGAAGGTGTGATTTGGGGGCGGGGGGTGTGGAATGTTTGCTCCAAACTAATTAGTAAAGGAGTTGAAATCTGAACACAATAGACCTCAGTTAAGAAGGAGCTAAGCCAAGTGTGGCAGCTTACAGCCCCAAAAGCTTTATAAACTGTGAAGGAAAAGCAGTGAGGATGTGCCAGCATGACCTTAACATTCCTGGCCTCCTCCCCTCTTTTTCTTACGCCTCTATTCTCACTGGTTAAGTTCTGCCAGTGAGCTATTTATCTTCTTTACAGGGTTAATTTTCTAACAGTTTAGCACCTTGAATCAGCTCACCCTGGAATCAGATGATCATCAAAACCACTAGCAGGGAAGGGCCAGGACTACCCATCCTAGAAGGACCTTTACTTAGACCAGATCAGATGAACACGGAGGCTGTAGTTTGATGTACATTTATCAACGTTCCCATTTCCACCTCTCAACACTCATCACGCCCACATTGTCCTTCGCGAGTCCTCCTCCTCCCATCCCTTCAGTCGCTTTTCTTCTGCACCCTTCCCGCTTCCTCTTGCAATATGCCAGCACAGATTGTGCTGTGTACAAATGGGAAACGATATTCAGGATAGAAGAGTTTAACATATAAAGTTTTGACTTTAATAGATCCAAATAGTGGAATATTAAAAAATAAATTGATCAAGACTCTGTAGGTGAAGAACGTAGAGGCATTCATTTTATAGAAGATCCCATTTTTCCCCCCCATCATCTTTTAGGTGAGTTTACTGGAAGATATACAAGTTGCTACTTCTGGAGACCCATCATCCTTACACCACAATGTAAGTTGGACCCAGACACTTTGCCACTGTTTCGATCCTCACGATGCCATGCTACTAAGAACAGACTACCCCACTCAATCAAATTCAGAAACAAGACATTTACAAAAGCAAGAGTCTTTTCCTCAGTCAAGCTCTAATATCACAAATCCAGAATCACTGCTTCATGGGTCAAATTTGACAGGGCTGTTTTCAGCTGCTGACACCAGAAACCTAATGGCCCACAATGACAATTTTGATGAAAGTAAACTCATATCTTTGGCTTTGGAGGAAGGCTTTGATCCTATAGAAGTTTCTCAGCTCTTTGAAGAACCTGGCTTAGATTTGGGACTATCTTTAAATTCAAGTCACAGCACTGCCACCTACTCAGTCAGCAGTGAAGGTGCTGTTGGGTACAGCAGTGATGCTAAATCTATTTCTTCACATGGCTTAGGAGCTGTTGGTGGCCATAGCCAAGAACACAGTAAATATGTCCATGTGGAATATCCAGGTGATTCAGAGTGTTCCAGAGAAGCCACACTTCAGCAGTATCTTCATAACCACACTTATGATCAGCTGCCAAGTCAAGCAGCATCCACTCCAGAGCATCAGCAGCAGATGTGGATGGAGAAACCAAACGAAGTAAAGCATAGGTGCCATAATTCTACTGATGCAAACCTTGGCAGAACTGAACGCAGTGCAAAAGCTCTAAGAATACCATTTTCGGTAGATGAAATCGTGAGCATGCCCGTTGACTCTTTCAACACCATGCTAGCAAAGAACCATCTGACAGATACTCAGGTATCGCTTCTACGTGACATCAGACGAAGAGGAAAAAACAAAGTTGCTGCCCAAAATTGTCGTAAACGTAAACTGAATGCAATTCTTAACTTGGAAGAAGATGTATGTAATCTTCAAACACAAAAGGAGAACCTTAAAAAGGAGCACTCTCAGTGTAGCAGATCAATCAGCCGGATGAAGCAGAAGTTAAAGAACTTGTACAGTGACATTTTCAGTAGATTGAGGGATGACCAGGGTAGACCTGTTAACCCACGCCAGTATGTCATTCATTGCAATAGCGATGGCAGTGTTTTCGTAATACCCAAACACTTGGTCAAATCAGAACAGAAGCAAAATGATGAAAAAGAGCAGAAACAAAACTAAGATGGCTGAAGATCACTTCGGTTTTATTTTTCCTGAAAGAATGATGAGGATATTTGCGTGAAGACTGGAGGTCAGTAGTATGAACAGAAAAGACTACATTTGAGGAGGAAGACTGCATGTTCAAGGGTCTGGCAAACTGGGCCAATTGTGATCTGTTAGAAAGTCTATCAGCTGAGGCTTCTGGATGAGGAAATCTTTTTGTTTTAATTAGAATTAAAGGAGCTAGGCCATCAGTAGAAGTGTAGTTATATAGGCCTATGTAAAAGTAGGAATTTAGTTTCTGGTGGTGGGGATGGGGGAGAGAACATCAGTGGGGGAAAAAAAAGCAAGCTTTAGAGCAAAGTTGCACATGGAAGAAGAATGTGTTTCAGTGTTGAGTACCTGATTCTTCATACACAAAGTGACCTTATCTTACTATTCCTTTTTAGCACTGAAAGAAAAATTGTAGCTGAAGTTCATCTTCACCTTAAATTCACTGTGGATTTATGTATTCCTAAGAGATTTGTGCTTTGCATTTATTCAGAACTGTTCTGCTTTTCCTAGTTTTCCTTTGGGGAGAGAGGCCCAGGAAGGAGGCTATTGCATTTTTCCTCACTACTTTCACCATCATAGCTCCAAGCAAACATAATGTACCAATTAATTTTAGAACTCATGTGGTCAATCTGCAAATAGATTCTGAAAAATAATCAGTTATCTGATTCAATATTGTCTTACCTTCATCCTCTGCAACTGAATCATTCTCAACTTTCTTCCATGAAAATGAGTGATGGTGAAAGAATTCTGTTCTCAGTCTGTGATATATTTATTTGTGTACCTTCCCTTTCCCCCCCCCCCATTTAGATACATTCCTCAAGGAAAAGTACTAGAGTTTTTCTTTGTAGCTTTTTAAAACTGGTAGCTTATAAGTATCTTCAGTGTTATGGATTTATTTTTTTTTAAGATTTCCCCCAAATCTTTAAATTAAATCAAATTACTATTTATCTGTACTTGTCTTAATGAGGTTACACTCTGATAGCAGCTTTGAATGAAGAGACAAGCTTTTAGGTTTGAGATTTATTTATTTGTGCTATGAAAAAGACGACATTTTCTTCACTCGCATACTTATTCACAACAGCTTACCCTTTTCTATTGTACAACCTGAACAGGGTCTGCAAAAAAGATGGCCTAAAAGGCACGTAATGAATGATAAGGAAGGTGTAATGAATGATAAGGAAGTTAAGAGGCATACAAGTTTGTAAGCTATTAAAATAATTACCAATATTATCAATGAGATAGCAACAAATACTTTTTATATCTTTTATAAACAAACCCCATAAAACTGGTATTTAAAAATATCTCATCGGTCATGGCATGATGGCAACGTAGCGACTCTGTGGTCCGGTATGTTAAAAAAAGCACTTGGCACCAAACACGTACAAACTACACATACATGCAGTACAAGTTCAAATGCCAGCTTAGACCTTCTGAAGGAATAAACTATGCCACTAGCGTGTAAATTGTGTTGTTGGTTTGCACTTGTGTTTACAGTAACTGGTAGCATCAAGTGGCATTTTCTAAAAAGCGAGCACTGCCTCAGAGCACAAAATGCACTAAATTATCAGTAGTGAAATCAGCTGTTTCGAACAATTTGCTCTGCATTTTATATTAAAAGACTCCTTTACATAAACGTGTGCATCCAATCTTTCATTCATCAGTTTCACCACAGCCTCAAACTGATAGGGTAAATTCATAGCGGAAACTTTCATGAGAGAGCTCTGAAATGTCTTGCTGGTGGTTAAGCATTAGCATAAAGCGCATCTATCCCAACTGGTATTCACAAGGCATTTATTTAATCGCTAGTTGATGAACGCCAACCAAAACATGCAACAGGTATCAGACACATATGATTAATTGTGAACTTTATTTTTAGTTCCGGGGGCAGAGAAAAGCCCACGTTTGAGTCTGTACGATTATCATCTTTTAATTAAATGACATAATAAGCATTTTAAAGCCTATACGGGTAGCCTTTGCAGGACTAGGTCTTCAAGTCTTCACGGCCCACATGCACAAATTCTGATAGATTAGGCCTGTAACTGATAAAACCAGAAACCCGAGTATTTCTCTTTTAGGGCCTCACAACACAAGTTTCTGTCTAATTACGAGGGAAGGGAGCGATAAAAAAATAAAAAAATGGCTAAACCTTCTGGTGCCCACTCCTTCCACAGCAGTAGAGAGGGGGCGCTGTGGTCTCTGGTCAAGCCAGCTCCTAATGAAGTAAAGCACACACACACCCAACTTGGTAACAGTTACATGGTTAAATTTTGGCACACGCTGGAAATACGGAAGCTTGTTGGGACTCTTTCAGAGAGCAATCCTAATAGAAAGCAGCATACTCCAGGCAATGCATATAAAGCAAAGACATCAGCCCCAACCACATCCCCTTCCCTGTAAATCTGCAGATTGGAAAGTAACATCAGCTGCCCCTCCCTCAGCCAACTCCACTCTTGTCGTTGTTCCAACAAGTGTATTTCTTAAAGAGGTTTTATGTATGCATCTCGGTTTCTGAGAACTCAGTTAGCAACCATACCCCTACAAAACCTCTTGGGTGAGTTACTAATTTGGAGTGGACTGCAAGTTTCAGCAGTGCTGATGAGAAGACACCGAGCATTAGGTCTGGATGTACTACGGTACTTTCTCCAACCTTCAGCTACCTACCCACACCGAGAAAACCGTAGCCAGAATTCAGAACAATCTGGTTTTGCAGTTTTAGTAGACTGCCATTAAGCTTCACCTAAAACCAGCTCATGCTTTTTGAAGCGCCTTCACTAGCCTGTGTTTAAAGAAAAACAACCCCCAAACATCGCTTAAGTCTTGGCTATGCCTTATATTTGGGTTCCTGAAGCTACTTTTAATACGGTTCATAGGATGGCCTTACCCGGTTTTTCAACCCATACACAAAAAGGAGATGCTGTAGGGGAGTCGAGGAGCTATGCAGGAAAACAGCATTGACTTTGAACCGAAATGGTTGTAAAAGGTGGGAAACTCACGACTGAAGTCTGGGCTTTCTTCATCATTGTTAACTTTCAAGAAACCAAAATCCTAAGCGTACAAACCAGGAACTACGCTGTGTAAAAGGATGTGGCATGGTATCAGACATGCTCTGGAGCCAGGTATGTAGTGGAAAAGGTGTCAGGGGTACAGTCTCCTGACTGGGTGTGACACGGAGAAAAACATCTCTCTGACGTAGGAACAACGAAAATGCCTTTTTTTTTTTAAAAGACTTGTTACACTGCTAGAAAATGGCACGGCTGAGGATTGTAGATTGAGCTGCTGATACACCAACAAAAAATGCAAATATCAACATGGGAGTTGTCGTTATCATTCCCATAGTAAAGCCATTAAGCAGTCCGTAACATTTGAGCGGCCAACTGCAGGTTTGTTACATTTAATAATGAAAAGAGGTTATCTGCAAAGGGTTAGGAAAGGTCAGATTGAGCAAGTACAGAGAAAAACACTGGGTGGTGGGCAAATCACGAAGCACACGGATTACCTTCCCCGTTATTGCCGGTAGCAACACTCGTGGCACTACGGAAGGGCATCAGCCACCAGCTGCTCCAGCCATGCCTTTTCTAGAGAAGCACCCATTAGAAGTGTAGACAAGCGCAGTACTTCAGCAGAACACGACACCCTACGCAGCGCTTACGAAGTGCGAGGCCGAGCCCCAACAGTACTGCGCTGCAGCACAGCTTTACCTTGGCGGTTAGGTTTTATTCAACATACTTTGCTTTTTACAGCTGCTCAGTTTTACAAGCCAAGACTGTTCCTGCTCGAGAGCTTACAATCTAGTTTTAGACGGGGTAAACCAGAGGAACGAACTTTGAAGAGGAAATAAAGGACAAAGCCGCTTCATCAAGATTGGTTTGTCAGTGTTTGTCCCAAAACACACACACTACACTCGTGTCTGATGGGAGTCAAGTATGGTTCTAACAAGACTCTTGAAGACAGAGTAAGTGGAGGCCTATAAATAAGGCAACAGGACACTCGCCACCAGGTTTAGTGAAAAACCATTTATTAAATAAACCAAATAGAGACAACACGTGTACCACGTGCTGTCTTATTACCGCAGCGTACCTGGTAGCAGCACTGCAACGTGGTACCTGCTACACAGGGACTAGAACGCCATTAAATGCATCAGCCATCGATTTTCAGACAAGAATGCCTAAAAACGGACTGAGAAAGAGCAGGCCAAGGAAGAGAAAGCAAGGGGGTAGGGGGGAAATCACATGCTGGCAAGGACTTGGGGGGAACGGCGGTTTCCTAGGACTTGCCCACACAGCCAGCTTGTTCAGACAGGGAAGCAGGACGGGAGGTCCCAGAAGCTAGTCTGGAAACCACGTGGTCCCCAAACGCTGCTGACCTAGTAGACACATAGCAGCGCACTGGGCAAGTCCCACAGCCGTTTGGAGTTGAAGCACTGTTCGGTTCCGATAAATAAACCAGTTCCTGCTTACATTGACTGGATTAACTTCTAGCAACGCAAATCAACATGAGGCTGTGAGGCAAGAACGCGGCGGTTAAAAGGGACCGCGCAGCTTCTGGCGGAAGGGGTGGGCATTGCCCAGGCACGCCCCGCTGCGCTACACCGCTATGCGCTCCTACCCGCGTCGCTCTGTAGACCAGCTGAGAACCGGGCATCTCCCTTCGGAGAAGAAAAAAAAAAAAAAAAAAAAAGTAACAGCGCTGCTACAGGATTCCACTTGCATCACCACTCCGCTTTGGAAACGGAACGCTAAAGCTAAGGGGAACGTAACTGCTTCAGTATGCTCTCAGCAAATCCTTTCACAGGTGTGGTCAAGCTGCCAAAACAAACTCGGCTGACAGCTCCTTGAAAAATTCAGATCTATGTTTTTGGGGTTTTTTTTCTTCCCCAGCAGCAGTACGATTTCGCCCCAAGATAAGGTGTACGTTCATCATAAAAGAATGCACTCTTCTTCCCCACGCGGCACAGTTCAAGTCCTGCTCCCTTTACGATGTGTTAAGAGCAATTGCTCGCATTTTCCTCAACACTTCAGCACCTGAAGCCCAAGCAGTACAAGTGAGTACGACTCACCTTTCAATGTCAGTAACGCAGAGAGCACAAAGGCTGAGGGGCAGACCCCAGCACTGACCTCTCTTCACCATCACTTTATAAACACTGTAGTTATTTGGGGTTGGGGTTTTTTTGCTCCCATACCGGTTACCAAGGAGTTATGCTGTCTTTCACATTTTTCCCTCAGTTGCTGCAGAAAGTGTTTGCCGGGGGCAAGCTGGGCCTAGTACTGACAACCTGATCCTCAGTTCTTAGTACACCGAAACACATTGACCGGCAAGGTTACCCTTGCTTTGAGAACAGCCTCTGTAGAGTGGCATAAACCAAGTTTCTTGGGAAGTAAGAGAGAAGTACACATTGTCTGCAAATTGAGGACCAATAATTGACCACACAGTTGTTTTTTGAGGACCAGTAATTGACCACACACTGTTGTTTTTATTCAAAGTCGCTAGCTTTCAGCGCCAGGTTGACTCAAAATGGTGACTCGTCTCACTGCATCCACCAGTAAACACCGTGTCACTTGCTCGAATTCTTAAAAACATACCAAGAAGGAAAGTCATGGAAGTTCAACAGCAAGACCACAGGAAGCTTACCCAAATACTCCAAGCTTTTAAGACTTTAAATATCCAGTAACTTAGTTTTTGCATACTGCTGTCCCCTGTACACTCCCTTCCCCCATCGCCAGTAGATCAGTATTAAAACATCCTCATTATGGAAAATAGAACATTGTAAATTTTAAACCTTGTTGCAAAACTACCGAAAAAGTGTAAGTATCTCAAACAGACAGAATTATTATTCCCCTTTGAAGTGGTTTGGTTTTTTTTTTTTGGTCATATGAACGTGGACTTGGCAACTGTAAAGAAAAAACTTCCATTAACTAAGTCTAAGCTCCAGGAAAGAAGGCAAACAAATCCCTTATCAACTGGTCAACTCATTCTGCTGGAAAGAAGAAAGTAAAGCATATTTTGTGCGTCTTCGCTTTGTGCCTCCATTGCAGCTCACCGTTACCTGTACAAATATTTGAAAGTTCAACTTATAAAACACAGTAGTCACATGTGAATCCTTAAATAGTATTTTCAATTGTATGAAGGTTAAGACATGATTCTGCCACAGCTAAGCATATAAATTTCTAGTTTAGAATAAACCACGTACATCGGTAACAGGTTAAAACAGTACAGAGTGAAGAAACCTCCCCTCAAGTACCTTCCCAGCTGAAGCTTTCCCAAGCTCACGCTTGGGAGTTTGGGTTGGTTTGGGGTTGGGTTTTTTTGTTTGTTTGTCCCCCCTCCTCCCCGGAAGATGCAGCTATCAGTAACACAGTTCTGGTACAGCAGGAACTCTACATTCCATTCAGTTTTTCTCCCTTGATGCTAGAAGCTCCTTACAGGTGGAAAGGATAAAGCTATTGTCCTATCACATTTTGACAAACTGTCTCAAGTGGTTAGTTTCATTAACAGGAAAGGAGGAGATATATTTTTATAACGTGATATAAAACACAGCCAAAAAGCTACTTTAAAGCAGTTGTGTCCAACAGCAAAAAGAAGAGCGTTTTTAATTTGCAGCACTGTTTCTCCCAACAGAGAACAGATGCCTGCGGTCAGAGACACAAGTTCTGTGAATACATTTGCCAACTTGACTTTGTTTTAAATCCACCTCAAAATGGAGTGTTTCAAATCATGAAAGGGTCTAAAAGCTGCACATAAACATTATTTAATGTTAGACACACACTAAGTTTTATTAAGCATTACACTAGAACTACTTTGGTATAAAAAATACTTTATTTTAAAGCTATCAAAGTTATAAAAATACGTAGTTAAACTTTCTACTCACAGAATGTTTGCTATTTTAACATTAGTGATTTGTTTCTCCTAACGAATCTGAATTTTATTCGAAAGGTTTACAAGACATTATTACTATAATTTAAAAAACCCAGCATTACAGGGAGCTGTACTAATTGTGATGTTTTATCAGTATTCATTTAACCTCTAGATTTTTAATGAAGGCAGCAAAAACAACTATTTTGTGATGATACAGAATTTCTTATTTCTTGAAGCGTTTCTGTGGTTGACCACTTCTTCATTAGTTACCTGCAGCATGGCACCTTCCTGCCAAAGAAAAAAAAAGTGTATCTGAAGATGTTTATCACATATGTCTAAACCAAATTACCAATAGGGGAACTTGAGCCATTTTTTAAAAAAAAGAAGTATAAGCAGTTCACTGGTGTGTCTAACACAAAAAGGAACAGGACTTTTGTTAGCCGAGTCCACGTTCTTCAGTGGTTAGCCTTTTAATGGCCGTGGAACTTTGAAATGAGGGCATTTTTTTGGTTGCCTTTTTTTGTGGGTTTTGTTGATTTTTATTTAAAAACCAAATCTAGTAGAGTATGCCACCCTTACTCTGAGTAACTCATTACTTGATGAATTTCTATTAATTTGAGGTGCAAACATTCAATGCGGTGAGTAAGGCTGACTGAATTTGGCACTAAGGTTTATTAGCTGCAAGAACTATAAAAAATGGTGGAAACCTCAACATTCTAGCCAAATTCCAATTTACATAATTACATTATACACTTATGAAATACCACCTGCAGTTTCATTTGAAGTTTTCACTTCCCCTCCTAAAGAACTGCTTATGCAGTTGTTAAAAGAATGGACGACACATTCCTTCACAGAGGCAGATGTATTCTGTGGTGCAATTTTTTTCCTTACACGTAAACAGTCTAGAGTTACTTGGGAACCTTCAGGATGAAACGTGTTATATAAAATAGATTACAGCAGACAAGACACATAACAACATAGTTCATTTTCAACAGCACAGAACTACCTTCATTGCATTACCTTGCAACCACCGTAATGCACAGACTCCCAAGAAAAAATAAAATGTTGCAGGATGCAAAAATTAAAGTTGTATGATTTAATTAACTTGTGACCTACCATTTTAACTACCAACACCAGGGATGGAACCCTTGCAAAGCTTTACTAATGGACACTTGCAGGTCTCATTTGTTCAACTGTAGCAGTGTACAGTGGCAGCAGTCTATGCTTGTCCAGGGTTCATATCATAGCTAGATTCCAGTAGGAAAAAAATATGTTAAGTAGCTGAAATTAACAAAAATTTGTTTGTAAAAAAATTTAATAATACAAGAAAACAGGTTTCACAAATTTCTTTTAAATTGGTAATTTTTAACTCAATTCATTGCTATGTTAAACTACATAACGATAATCACTATACTGAAAGAATACTGTCAAACAATATTAGTTTCTTGGTTTTGGAACATTAAGAAAGGAAAAGTAAATAAGATCTTACCTAAAGAAGTTTAACTGAAGCTTAGAACTAGTTTGCTCTACACCCTCAGCCTTCGTTGGCATCCTTATAAACTACTGTAGTTAAAGCTTTGCAGAAATACAGCGCAGCTTTTTAAGACTGGCTGAATTTAGTGACGTTTTCAAGAGTTCTCTTGTACTAGACCTGTGTCCCTGGAAGAGTACCTCGCTGGGGATATTTCCTTTCCTTGCCATTGAAGAAGCAGCATCTAAAAGATCTAAAAAGGTGTTTCTCCTTGCAGAGATATCCCTTAAGTTATCTAGGTATTTTAAACCTGATCATTTACAGACAACATACTTTTTTCTGACCAGCATTTAATTTTACATGTACAACAATAGCTTTATATTATTTGTGGGACCTTATACTACCCACTCCTTGCCTTATTTTACAATATTAAAAAAAAAATCTAAAATTACACAATATTTCCTTTAGAATTATTTTATTAAATCATAAATGTACAACAGCTTCTTAACTCTACACACGCACTTAAATTTTTAAAAGGAAAACGTTATGTCTTATTACACCATGATCCTGGCTAATAGCTTTTCAAAACTTTGAGGAAAATCTTAAAAAAGGTTTCACATGTCACCTGAAACTTACAAATTTAACATTATCAAAGGAATGCTTCTACACTTACAAAGACCACTAGAAAGAAACAACAATTAAAAAGCTAAGAAACTGTCTCAAAGGCATTTTTACAATCCTTCCTCCACAGTAAGGTAATGTTATTAAATAATCCAAATCCATTCACAAAATGGCTCTCTGCATCTGCTCTGGTGTCTTCTGCCATATCACTGCATATTTATGCATGACTGAGATAAGTGTTTCCTTAACATTGTTATTTCGATAACCTGAAGCTGTTCTGTTACCTCTGGGCTCTCATCCTCTCCTATTTATACAGTGAAGCCTGTTTCAACAGAAGTAAAGAGTAAAAAAATAGGTTATGAAATTATTCATCTAACCATTTTTTAAAGGAAAGATAATATGATCCTAAAAAGCTTTTAACTCCTGCAGCTACTCTCAAGAATCACTGCAATTTTAACACTTAAAAACATACTTACCCATGGCATGCTTGCAGAAACTCAATAACGGCTCCTCCCTCCATATCCACCACTTCCTCCACTGCCCCCCGGACCATAGTTTCCTGCAATTGCAGAAAAAGAAGAAACAGAAGAGTTACCTCGGTACCCTTTTTAAATCTAGGGATGCTTTTAATTCTGCATGAAGCTTAACATCTGCTTTACTTCAAGAAACAAAGACTTCAACATTTCACTGTCTTCCTCTAAGTAACACCCAAAACTGCCACCAGAACTACATATTGCAATCCTAGAAGATTCAACAGTGTCACAGGTAATTTGATGCACTGTACCATCTTGAGCTTGCAAGGGCTGACTTTATTTCCATGCTAAACCTTACAAGAAAGGGCTTTGTATTTCAGTTTCCATTTCGCAAGCTTTACAGGCCATATTAAATAACATTTAGATAACAAAAGCAGAAAGCGTCAAAAAAAATGCGACACTACAACAGGAGGGGGAAGAGAAGAAATCCCAGCAAATTTAGTGACATTAACTAGACTCTATACAAATGGTGTGAGCGGATAGCAAAGAACATGGAACTTCCACTCCCACCATAAAGAACTACTTTACATCTAATCCTGATCTACTACCCTCTTTTAGTTCAAAAGTTATTTCTTGTCCTATCTTCCTCCCCAAAAGACTAAAGCCCACCCACTCTGGCTCCAAAGCAGGTCAGGACATATACAATACCTCCACCATATGGTCCCCCCATGTTCCTGCTGCCACCAAAATTTCCACTCTTCATTGGACCGTAATTTGAAGGTTGTTGGTTGTAGTTTCCAAAATCGTTATAGTTTCCACTTCCATAATTTCCTGGATTATCAATACAAAAGTGGAAAAATACCTAAATGAGCTAAAACGCATACGGCACTCACAAAGTTACCTCATTATTAGAATTTTCAGTAAAGTACAAAATAATACAGATATTCCAGCTGTGTATGCAATGAACCGCTTTTTCATACTCTTTGGAAAACAAGAGCTTCAACATTTACAGCACCACCCACCCACCCAGCCCAAATCTCAAGTGACTTGCACTGAAATGCTTGGTCATTTCAAGCCAGTAGGTTACCTCCTCCATAGTTGTCATAACCACCTCCATAGCCCCCACCCTGGTTGCCATAACCAGGTCCTCCTCCACCATATCCTCCTCTTCCTCCTCCGTAACCAGGACTGCCACCGAAGTTGCCACCTATAACAATATAATCCTTTAAAATAAACTTTTCAGTGTAGAAGGCAACCAAATTCTACAGAATCAGAGGATATTTTTCTGTGTAGAAGCCTACAGGGTAAGAAAAGGGTAGGAGTTCTGTAAAGAAATGTCTATCAACACTATTTTTAAAGGCACATACTAACTCCCACCCTAAACAAATTGTAACCAAAACCCTAAAAGCCTCAATTAAAACCTTGATTTTTCAGGAAATTTAAGAAACACTGCTGTTCTTTAAGGAAATGGCATGGTTGTCCAAGAAATAACCATGAATTTACCACATAAAAGTTTAACATGAGCCAACAACCACATATGCTTCTTAAAGCCAACAAAATGGCTTTGGCAATTAATATAACTTCTATACAATTGATAAATGAATATAAAAATGTTTCTGAATGAGAGAAAAACAATAGCCGCCACCACCAAGGAAGTAAACTAACCTCCAGGTCCTCCACCATATCCATTATACCCATCACCAAATCCACGGCCACTTCCATATCCATCTGTTGGAAGAAAAAACCCCAAGTATGTAAATTCACCTGTAGCAAACTAACTGAATTCTCAAATCCCCATGACCTTAAGGACCAAATCTCAGAGAGTATTGATTAAGCACACATATTTTTCTAAATTCAAGTATATGTGTGAAGTAACACATCTAATCATTGCTCTACATCATCTCTTTCCTTGCGTTTGTAAGGTACCTAGTTTTAATTTCGGACATAGCACTTCCACTTTAAAGCTCACGCAAGTGCTGCATAGAATTCCAAAGGAGAAATCTCTGAATTCCTTAATGAAATTATTAAGTTTAGGTTAATTTTGGCTTTTAATAAAATTCTTCAAAAAACCCCCAAACTTCTTTTACTGAATATCCACATAATCAGTTTGTGTTCTACAGAAGAGGTTTACAAGTTGTTTTTCCCATAAATTCTCTAATTGCTACAGCCGCATTTAAATTAAACAGCAGTAGCTTACATAGTTACCCAGAACCAGAAAGACAGTATAATTAAGGGGAAAAAAAAATGCGACAAACATGCCTGTCTTACCGGCTCCCCCTCTGAAATTGCTACCAGGTCCTGGACCAAAGTTGCCACCACCTCCACGTGCATCACCAAACCCAAAGTTCCCTGTAACAGTTTAACATTTAGAAGTAGTGAGATCATGCAAAGGAACACAAAGAATCAACCACAAACCGTTAACCGTTACTTGTACATACCTCCTCTCCCACTTCTAGAATTTTGCACTTCCTGCATTTCCTGTCTAGAGAGAGCTTTCCTTACTTCTGCATTATGGCCATTGATGGTGTGATACTTCTGCACTGTAATCACATCAAATAAGATACCATCAGCATTTAAGTACTGATCTGGCAACAAATAAGAGTATTCTAAAATGACGTAATTCCCAAATGAATGCATAGATATTCCATACAATTTAAAACCCCAAAATACCATGTAACTTTTAAGCAAAGAAGTCAGTACTTATTTAAAATATATGTTCCCACAAAATTAATCGTAACTACGATGTAGCAAATATTCATGCATGTAACTAATCCCATTACCTTGTTCGTTAAGTTTAGCTTTACAAAATTACCATGACTGCAAAGACTAATACTATCAAATGAAAGAGTGAAATGAGGCTTACTTACATACAATTTTATCCACAGGATCATGGTCATCAAATGTAACAAATCCAAACCCTCTCTTTTTACCAGACTGTCTGTCAGTAATGATTTCAATAGTGTCAATTTTTCCATATTCCTCAAAGTAGTCACGAAGGTGGTGCTCTTCGGTGTCCTCTTTAATACCACCAACAAATAGTTTTTTCACAGTAACATGAGCACCAGGTTTTCCAGATTCCTGTTAAAAGAACCCTTTAAATTACCACAAAGAAAACCAGTTTCACCTATCATTATTTTGCCAGGATTTCAGGAATGGAATACTGATAAACTAAGATCTTTTTCAAGCACTAGGATAGCCCTCTTACGATGCAGGTCCCTGCCACCTTCCTTGGAGGGCCTTCTGGGAGGGAAGTAACATGGGGTAATTTGGAGGTTTTTCTTCCCCCCTTTATGTCAAAGCCTTAAAAGCACTGAAAAAGATACAGATAAAAGTGCTATGAAATGCATAAAAGTAAATAAAAAGCCTTTGAGCATATTTAAGATCAACTGTTTGAAAGAACTGCAAGTTCTGCATGATTTTTATACTTAAAACAAAGATGTGTCGGCTTCCTCCACCCATTTCCCCAACAGTAGTGAAACCCCTATTCCACTCATGTCAACAGCACAGGTCTTTCAACCTCAGCAAGTCCACAGCTATGCATTTTAACCCCTATTCAAAATACGCAGACCACTCCTCACATTGATGGGTTACTTTTACACTTTAAGCGTGATAACTGAGCTGCTGCACTAGGCAGGAATGACTTTTTCCGAATGCTAACCACTCCAAGTTCTGCAGGGAACAGCAAGAAAACCAGGCTAGCTAACAGTGGTACCAGTGGTTATATTTCCTCTGACCGCTGGGACAGCTCATTCAATTCCAGTTCATCAGTCCAAATGCATTGAACACCTAGGTCTAGCCTTAAACTGGTAAACCCTCCGAGCACTCCCGCAACGTGGGAAAGAGAGTCATCTAGAATCTGTGCTTGCTCCCTGTCCTCATTTTGGCTGGGATAGTTGATTTTCTTCCTGGTAGCTGGCGTAGCGCTGTGTTTTTGATGTAGTACGAGAATGATGTTGATAATATAGGGATGGTTTAGTTGTTGCTAAGTAGTGCTTACTCTAGTCAGGACTTTTCAGTTTCCTGTGCCCTGCCAGCAACAAGCTGGGAGGGAGCACAGCCAGGACAGCTGACCCAAACTGGCCAAGGGGTTTCCATCCATACCATATGACATCAGTACATAAACTGGGGGGAGTTGGCCAGGGGGCAGTGACCACTGTGCAGGAACTGGCTGGGCATTCATTCAGCAGGTGGTGAGCAACTGCATTGTGCATAATTTTGTATATTCTTTTATCATTGTTATTACTTTCCCTCCCTTTTCTGTTCTATTGAACTGTCTTTATCTCAAGCCACGAATTTTACGTCCTGCTGCAGGGACGGGGGAGTGAGCCAATGGCTGTGTGGTGTTTAGCGGCCTGCTGGCTTAAACCACAACACTCCTCAAGTACCTCTGTGCCACAGTAACCTGGCTCAGAAGTTTACAGGTGCACCGCATTCCTGTGCAGCACATACCTTATTTGTACCCTGAAGTTTAAAACCAAATATGCCTGAGGCTGAAGCTAGAGTAGTCCAAAAGATGATTTTGTACACCATTACTGGAAAACACAAGGAGTTTCCCTACCACATTCTCAATTTTTAGTCACTGCAGTTCTATACCTTTTAGAAATACCCAAGAAGATGCTGGAATAGTCAGGAGAGATTGACAGGAGTTCATTAATTTGAGGCTTAGTAACAGTAACCACTCCAGAGAAGTTAGTTTGGAATTTGCCTAATTACAGGCATTCAATGTGTTTTCACTAACAATACTTTCAGACCTCAGTTGTGTCCCTTGCAGACAAGATTCTATGACCAGAGTAACTCAATAAATTACTGTAATAATAGACATTTATGTAATAGTGTCATTTAACAGACCGAAACCATGGGAAACAGTGCCCCAACTGCAGCCTTTTAACTACAGAATTAAACCGAGGCAATTTCAAACAAGAACAAAGCATAACTGTCTGACCCAAACAGATATCCCTTTTTCAAAGCATGAAAAGTATCTGCTTTCAAATCCACACTTACCTCTCTAGCCACAGCTCTCTTAGGCTCAACCACCCTTCCATCAATCGTGTGAGGTCTTGCAGCCATGGCTGCATCAACTTCAGCCATGGAGGAGAATGTTACAAAACCAAACCCCCTTGATCTTTTGCTTGCAGGATCCCTCATTACCTAAAAATAATAAACATGTTTAAACCATTTCTACCTGTCTCATGTTAAGCTCAACATGTCTGAAGAAAACATGTAAACAATTTACACTTTGCTCGATTTATTTCAAAACACCATTGTAATAAAGTAGCAGGCTCTGCTGATTAAGTACATGAACACTGCTTGGCATCACAGGAAGTCAAACCATTGTTGTCCTCTAAGACTCTACCCATAACTCAGAAACACTGCAGTATCAGTGACATGTTTATATTTACGTTTGTTTTCTCAAAAAATCAAACACATCATTTCTTTTAAGTTTTCTGAAGGCCACAGATTTACTGTTCCCAAAACAAACTCAATGGAGCAATTTCTGCAAGAGTCACTGTCCTTGCAGGTATGTAAAAGACAAAGACATGGCACTTAGGGCAGGCCACAGATTTACTGTTCCCAAAACAAACTCAGTGGAGCAATTTCTGCAAGAGTCACTGTCCCTGCAGGTATGTAAAAGACATAAAGACATGGCGCTTAGGGGCATTGTTTAGTGGTGGGCTTGATCATGTCAGGTTTACGGCTGGACTTGATCACCTTAAGGGTCTTTCCCAACCTAAATGATTCTATGAATACATCGCACAGATGTAACGGTGCTCTGCATAAGCACTCCCTAATGCACTTCAGCCAGTGACACGCAAGTTTAAAACTCCCTACAATTTCTAAACATTCTATACCATCACTGCACATTAGCATGCCAAACTTACCACACAGTCTGTAAGCTTTCCCCATTGTTCATAGTAACTCCTCAAGCTTTCCTCTGTTGTCTCAAAGCTTAAGCCGCCAATAAACAGTTTGCGGAACTGCTCCTTTTCCCTCTATCACACAAAAGAAGATTGCATTAATATAATTAACAATACCCCCTCTGCATCAGCATAATTAGACACTAAGTAACATTTTCTTCAGTGTCAAAACCTTTGGGCAAGACATATTTTTCAAAATTAGGCTTGGCTCTTCTAAATGTTCTACCACTACTCAAGAAATTAAGCAATTTATGCAATTCTGTGGGTCTGCTCTTACAGTACAGGTTTTAATAATGTGCTTCTTCCCATCTCTCCTTCAAATATTAAGGACAAGGCACCACAGTGAAAGACTTCCAGAATAGTCCTCTCAAAGATCTTCAGGAGATGCGTTTAAAGAACAGGAAAATAAAAACAAACCCAAAAGTTCTCATTACAGATAACATGAATTCATTCATACCGACTGATTCTATTCCAGATAGCTCTTATTTTTAAAACCATTCTGGCTCAAATTGTTGTACGTGAATACTATCACAATATTTACCCAAGGCATTAAAAATAAAAAATGAAGATATGGCTAAAGATGTTTTAAAACGGGTCAGAGATTCATATTTTCTCATTATTAAAATGAAAGAAGGAGCATCTGTAAAATTAATCTGGGATCCTACACCACTGGAATTAAGGGGGTAAACCTATCCACCCTCAACAGCAGCAATATCAGAACTAAGTGGATTCCCTTTAAAACAGAAACGTGAATAATACATATGTGAATATGTATCTATTAATGTAAATTATGCTTTCACTAAGACTTTGTTCTATTGCCTTTCATAGAAATTACCACTACGCTTGTTCAGCAGAAATTTCTGCTGTGATGACAAGTACATCGTTAGAAAAACAGGACCATTTACTATTCTGTATGTGGTATTATACCAAAGCAGGAAGGACAACCTTCCAACCTTTACCAGTCAAGAATACTTTAATGCTAATTTTTTATACCAAGCAAGCACCATAATTGTAATTTTCTACACATAACAGCATCACTAGAGCATACATTTTGCAATTTCATGTGTCAAACAGCAACAAAAAAAACCAAACCCCGCAACACTAAAAAGTAGTCCCCTTCCACAAAATCTAAGATTTCACAATGTTGTTTGAAAAAGAACTGTCCTGCTAGGGACAAGAGAACTCAAATGCAATTATTACTTCAGCCTTATACTGTTAACTAACTTTAAAAATGAAGAAAATCTGCTTGGGTGTTGGTTTTTCTTTAGGATGGTAGCTGTTTTTTAAAAAACCCAAACACTGCATCATTAGCAATCACTGACAAACACAATGTGACCAACTATGTACTGGACATTATGATAAATGTAAAAACGAAATTAAGACAACCAACGACAGACAATGGTACTCGGAAAATAAGCAAATTTCAGTGCACAAATGCTTTTAGAACTGTTAGGCCAATCTGCAGTAGGCCAACGACAACCTTCCAACCTTTACCAGTCAAGAATACTTTAATGCTAATTTTTTATACCAAGCAAGCACCATAATTGTAATTTTCTACACATAACAGCATCACTAGAGCATACATTTTGCAATTTCATGTGTCAAACAGCAACAAAAAAAACCAAACCCCGCAACACTAAAAAGTAGTCCCCTTCCACAAAATCTAAGATTTCACAATGTTGTTTGAAAAAGAACTGTCCTGCTAGGGACAAGAGAACTCAAATGCAATTATTACTTCAGCCTTATACTGTTAACTAACTTTAAAAATGAAGAAAATCTGCTTGGGTGTTGGTTTTTCTTTAGGATGGTAGCTGTTTTTTAAAAAACCCAAACACTGCATCATTAGCGATCACTGACAAACACAATGTGACCAACTATGTACTGGACATTATGATAAATGTAAAAACGAAATTAAGACAACCAACGACAGACAATGGTACTCGGAAAATAAGCAAAATATTTCAGTGCACAAATGCTTTTAGAACTGTTAGGCCAATCTGCATGTAGACCAACATGTTTTCTGAGGTTGTCCAAGGCACTCCTGGATCTAGATGCATGTAAAACTAAGACAATTACTGCAGGTAGTACTGAATCAGTTTCTGTTCAAAATGCATCACCCTGCTACCAGCTTGAGATACTGCAGTCTAACAAGGAAGTCAACCATTAGAAAAACAATCCTTTTCCCCCCAAATACTGTATTTGAAAATGATCAGTTTAAATGTCTCTTAAAACACTCAGATCTGCTGTTGGATCCAGTATTTTTTCTTCTAAGCAACACAAAGGAAGCTAATACTCTTCTCCTTGTACAGACAGGCAAAATTAGACACAGGAGTTTAAAAGCAGCAAACCCCTGTTACGTCAAGTTTCCTTTCACCTCATCTCTCAAAAGTAATAAAGCTGGCTGCATACCAGACTTGGACTGTAAAGTCATGTGCTGCAAGTCATACTATATGCTATAATTTATAACTTGAGTAGGCTAGCAGAGAAATCATTGTAAGCAACGATACTGAAAAAAAAAAAAATCCTCCCTTCAAATTACTTCAGTTCTGCTGAAGTAGAGACGACTTGCTACAGTTTCGTAGGCCCACAAAAGACACTTTTTCCTATATAACCGTCAGTAATAATAATAATGCACTTCCATTTTCTTATAAAAATAAGAGAATCAAGCAAATTTAGTAGGTGGGTAGTATTTTTCCAGTGTTAGATTGACCTTTGAAAACAGTTATAAATGCATGAATGAGACTCAAGGAAAGAACAGAATCTATCAGCTGTAACAACTGCATTTGGTTTTTAAAGGAAAAACATATACCTCACATTACTAATAAACAGAATAGAAACATGCTTTATAGATGTATGAGTTCTCAGAAACTGTAATCTACCATGTGTTAAGTGTCATGCAGTAGATGCCCTACCCTGAACAACATTTAGGCACCACACGTCAGGACACAGCAGTAATAAAATTCACTACCAGTTCTTCAATTAAAACCACTGTGTGAAAATACCATGAAGATGTTGCTCCACTAATACATGCACAGCCTCTGTATGTAGGGAGACTATTTGTCTTAAGTGTGCCAGTTTTAAGAAGCTCTGGTTAGTCTAGTGTTAACCAGGGTCCATAGAGCTCTGACCATCCGAAGTTTATGCTGAAGCTGTAAGTGTATGATAAACACTATTATCACTCCAGTCCCTCTCAGAATCTTGATCAAAAATCCTCATCTGGTAAAAACAACGCCCATACACGTACAACCCACCCCCGCCAAGGCCCACAATATAAAAGCTGGAAGAAAAACGTCTTTCAAGATTTCCATAGTACACTCTGTGGCAGGATCGGAGTGCAAGAGGAAATCTTTATGAACTCTGTAGAATCTTCATCAGTGCTTATTTTAAGTCTTCTTTCACAGGAACACTTCAAAGCACTGGAAAATTCATCATCAGAGCAAGGAGATGTGTTTCATATAGCCATAATGTGCGCACAAATACTCCAAACTGACCGCAAACTTCTGCGGAGTTAAGAACCCGAGTGACAAAAACAGTTAACAGACACAAGCGCGTAGGATCTCTGAACTAGTATGGCTAGGCCTGCCAAAAGCAAAGCTAGCTTTACGGGTCCCAAATTAGAAAGACAGTGC